GAAGATTCTTCATTCATTCACAAGAGAATTAGCCTTCTTTGGGTTTGAAATCAATCAAGGGTATTGAAAAAGTACCTTCTTTGGGTTCAACAAGTAATCGTAAAGGGTCTTCTCCTCCCACGTCACGGCCATGTTTTTGTTAGCAGCAGAGTAAGAATACCCTGGAGTTGTTCCAGATTGCCTTCCAAACAAACCGTTCAAGTTTGGTCCTGTGAATAACAAAATCCCAATTTCAAAACCAATACGAATCCGAAATCACAAACGAGAACAAACCATTCAGATGAATACATAACACACAAAGCGGAGATCAAATCCGTTAGATCCAAACAAGAACAAAACGTAAAAACGATGACCAGATAGAAATCGAAACGATGACACATAAAAACCATAGATCCAAAAAGAAACAATCGATCTCTGGAAAATCAATGAAAACGGACCTTGTTTGTGACCGGCACCTTTGTCGACGGTGTGGCACTGAGCACATTTGGTTCTGAAGATCTTCTCACCGGCTTTAGGGTTTCCGGGAGGTGCTTCATCGAACGACGCCATTTGATCGAGAACGGAAAAATCTGAATCGGTGTATTGCTTTTTGACGGTTTCTTTTGATTTGATTTTTCTTTCTTTCTTTTTGCTTCGACGAGAAAAGTCGAATTGGTAAAAAAGAAGGTTCGAGGAACAAGGAGAGGTGGCTGCGTGAGCGAGCCACATGCCATACGTTTTTTATGCATCCACGTGTCTTTTTCGTAGTGGTTGATTTTTAGTCGGTTGACTATTTTATTCCTTTTTTCTTCATTATTTTCATTCTTCTGGAACTCGGTTTTGTTGTTTGGGCTCAGAAGGCCAATAAGCAGGCCCAAATTTTGCACTTGATCAAAATGGTGTGATGGATTAAAACGATTAGTCAAAAAAATGCAATGAATGGAAAAATATTTCAGGCATTCCAAGTATCGAAAAAAAAATTAGTCAAAATTTGAATATTTACACCGCGTTCATTAGAGAGTAGTCAAGGTTTTTAGTAAATTGACTAGCATTAAGGCCGTGCGATGTCAAATATAATTTAAAAGTGGAACGGTATAATTTGTGACCAAAAATAAAATAAACGTAATATACGGTATAACAATATAATTGTTAACACACCTAAAATAGTTTATCTTTTTTACCTTTTTTTGGTATCAACTTTTTTTTTTTTGCTAATATTCTCTTATTGGTTCATGAAAGAGTTTAAAGAATACATGTAGATTTTTCTTTATTGCATCTTTGTTGATTTCTATTGTTATAGCCTGGGGTACATTCTTAAGATACCAAAATATTGTACCTTGTAATGATAAAATATTGTACCTTGTACCAAAATACCAAAATACCAAAATATTCTTCTTCTTCTACTATTGTTATTGCACCATTTTTATTCAAATCGATCCCTTGCCATTCTGAGAATCTTAGAATAAGGATTAATCATGTCCAACATTGT